GGGGGGGGGGGAGCAATGACGTACAGTGCCATCAGCTGGATCAGCTTGGATGTCGCTCCTTAATCCCGGGGCCTGCGGTGTTCCCATTCCCCCTCAACCCAGAGGAGGGGGTGTAAAGACAAGAGAGAGAGGAGGTGTGACCACAAGCCCCTCCAGGCCCAGCAAGAGGAGGTGAAAGAGCCTTACTGGAAATGAGGTATAAAAGTGACGAGTGACCGCCTGCTGGTCTGAGGTTCTCAGCCTTGGCTGGGGAACAGCCAGCTCTCTGTAGCCAGCGGGCAAACCCAACAGCGGTGGCTTTGCTGAGGGACTCTTTCCCAGTCTCTGCTGGGCCCTCTGTCTACCCATAACTGACCTGAAGCTTCAGATCCGAACCAAAAAAGGGGGTTGATAAAAAAAAAATCCAGAATCATGCAAGACATAATAATGTTCTTCACAGCACCATCTGCTGGAAGTAATCAGTGTTACAAAATGTTGGCATAGTCCTGGTTTGAGTCTGAGGTGTGCGACTGCAGCAGTGAAAAGTCAACTTACAGGAAATAGTATAAAAATGCAAACAACCAGCATCATTTGTAAATTCCATTGCCATGTGATTACTAAGGTGTTTATTGTATCATATAATTTACATTAGGTTAGAATACATGCATGTCTACTCCAGTACTGAACGACAGCAATGGCTGCAGGCATATGATGACGGTTACACATTAGGACAGGATCCATCTATCCCTACTCTGTTTCTCCATAATCACTTGTAAGTTCATGGTGGGTCTGGAGCCTATCCCAAACAGACTGGGGTACGGGGCAAGGGTCACCCCGGCTATGACCAAACATAACACTACGGAGACCTACTAAGGACAATTTACAGGCACAAATTCACCCATATGTGTGAATAACATCCAGACAGCAGAAACACAGAGTCAGCACCATCGCTGAAACGCCGCTGGGCTCCAGTTACCCATGACCTGAGAAATTACTTAAAAATGAACCAAATGCCCATACTGAGACCCCCCCCCCCCCCCCCCACCAGTGCTGAGTGGCTCAACAGAAAAGCAGCTTTACAAGATTTGTGGGTGACAAACAAAGACATCAATCTGAGGTGACGTAACCAAGCTGACTATAACTATTTATAGAGTGGCAAGTCGTTTTGTATAAAAATGATGATGATCTTAATTGTCATCACCATCAAACATCTATGGATGAAAGGGCCTTACTTAAAAAGCGGGGGACATAGTACTTTTGATGGCCTGTGGTTAAGGAACATTCCGGCTAAAGGCCTCCTTGGGGAGAAGTAATCCAAAACAGGTAAACAAATTAAACAAAGTCTACAAGTTCTTAAAGACAATAGTTTTCTTACTATGTAAGCACCCTTACGAACACCTCACCCCTTCTCGGGCAGGGTTTTTGACTGTAGGAATAAAAACAAGCATGACTAGTGGGGAAAAAAATGGCTTTTCCAGACCACTAAAAACCCCGGTTCCACCTCATTGCAGCACGGCATGCTGGGAGAAAAGTGGCAAATGTCTTTGCCAAGTTCATGTATTAGGGACCACCTGCACTCTGTGTGCAGAGAACACATTTGCCGGCTCACAAAACAACTGCGTTTCCCTGCATGGATTGAGAAACAGTCCCCAAGTGCCCGGGTCATAAGTTCAAGACAGAGTTGTCTGCACCTGCGTCTGATGGCAATGCTCACGATGTCGCACCTGGTATATCCTGAAGGGAATGTAGCGGAAGCCTCTCTCTTCGATAGGGTACTCCATCAGCTTCCTGTTCATGGCCCAGAACTGGTCAAATTTATCTGAGGAGCAAGAGAAGGAAAAACAAGCATCAGGAGAAGACCTTTTCTCCAGCAGTATCTCTATTAAAATGGGAAACTACGGCAACAAATAATATAATTAAAGTCGGTCTGTAAGACTCGTATCATACCAAAAAGTCAATTTTCTTCCTGGACACATTTAAATTCGGATGTTCCTGCACGTGTCACAAATATTAAAACAGCAGATGAAAGTGTGGAAGAAACCTGACACCTGTTATTACGTTTTCATTAAAAATAAAAGAACTTCTATTTTGGTGAATACAGTTGCGTGTTTTAAAGATGATTAAAACTGCATGCATTTTTTAGTTGACAATGTTTTACTGAAAACACAAACAAGGATTTCTGCTACCTAGATGTTTCATTCGTCCAGTTTTGAATGAATCAGAATGTATTTAAAGCAAGAAATATATATCAATCATACTGAACACTTAAGAATTGCAGCATGCAGTCAGACTACCAGAGAAAGCACAGGTGTTCCCCACATGAGCTGTTAGAAGTAACTTCACTTCAGCTCTCTTTCAGATCCGAGGTTCTGCACCCGCATCACCAGCGTGGGTCCGACCAACGTGGCGTTACTGTGGATTCTGCACAGCGAAAGCCGACAGGCGAGATACCTGGCAAGGGTGACGGAGCGGCCGACCGTCACCTGACACGTGCAGCTGGGCTCGGCATGGACCAGCTGGCAAGAAAGCAGTTACCATATACTAGCCTGCTCATGTGCGCTGACCCACCTAATCACATGAATGATCGAGTAGGAAATACTTTATATGGCCACAGGAGGAGCTGAAATTACGAAAAAGAAAAACCGATTCTCATTATTTAAACTACACCAAATGTTAACGCAGCGTAAACATGTGACGCGGCTGACTGAACGCATTTAAAAACAAAACCTGCAAAACCAGCCGAGATGATTAAAAAGTAAAGAACAAAACAAAACAAAATAGTAGCCTGTGCATGCCCGCACATCCATCCATCACGCTCAACAGAAATGGATAATTCAGAAAGTCAAAATCCAGACCAAGATTTTGTTTCCACCAGCCAATTGAATACTCTGTGACTCAACTGGTTGGTTGAAACAAAATCTTGATCTGGATTTTTACTTTAAGGACCTGAACTTTTCACCTCTCTGATGCCTCACACCCAGGTTCCACTTATACTGTCAAAGAGAAAGGTTACCGTGTGATAACTTTCGCCTGATTTTACTTTCCTCTTGCATAAAAACAATCTCTTTGGCAGGGAAAATGAGGGGACAGTAAAGGAGCCAGAACTGTGGAGAGCGGATCCATGAGGATGACTGACAGCTGAGGGTCCCCGGCGCAGGCCGTGCCGATCGCGGCCACATGGGCTATGAGCCAGTGGAACACACTAGTTTATCTGCTGACCTCGTGGTAAAACAAAAGGCTCTGAGGAAGACTTTGTGTCTTCTTTTGGAAGAGGTCCTCTTCTACACTGAAAGGTTATGACGTCCTACATATTTCTGAATGTTACATCGATCAACATGACAGGGGAACCTGGAGCTTAACCCGGTCTATATCTCATGTCTTTGGACGGAGAGAGGACACTGGAGTTCCTGAAAGTTTAACGTTACAGTGTCACACCAGCCCACTAACTTCAAACTAATATTGAAATTAAGGTCAGAGAACCTAAACCAGCAGAGCCAGCAGCCGTAGGGGGGGGGGGGGCTGGTGGGTGTCAGTCGCTCAGCACATCTCCAGCAGCTGGTTCACATTCACAGATGCCAGCACTTCGTTTCACAACTGCAGGTGTCCCTGGATGGGAACTCGGGCCAGTTGACAAGCTGCTTCAGAGACTAAATTTAGTATTTGAAAGTTTTCAGTATGAATTCCGCTTCGTTCCACAAAGACCCCTTCTCTGTTCTCTGATTCTGTAAGACGAGCGGTGGGGTGTGAAATAGCCGCTGTAGAGAGCCTCGTCGATAGCTGCCCTGCTATGATCTCTGAAACACCAGCCAGCTTATTGCAGCCTAGCACAAGGGCAGCTGACGTGTCAAACCTTTAACTTACAGGCTTTACAACTATGAGGGGAAAAGTCTGAATCTTTTCCCAGGTTAGCAATTGGGTTTGGATACATTGAAAATGGCCCCAAAATCTTATTTCTATAATAACTATTACATATTATTATATTATGTGGACAAATAAAAAGCATGACGATTTAGTAAACATAAAAAAACCAAGTGGCACTCCATGCAACAGGAGTTTAGGATCAGGTACAGCGAAATCTTATTTACATTTAAGCATTAAAAAATCAGACCATCTGCTGGATTCAAAAAATTAGTTTTTTAAGTAATTTAATAACAGCAGATGGCGAGGGGAGTGCAGCCAACACAAGCCAAGAGGGACTGTTTACTGCTTGTCCAGTAAAAACAGACCTGTTGATGATCTGGCTTTAATTATGCCGGAATGGAAAAGCTGCGTCACCTAAGTGTATTTCTTATGCCCGCAATCGACATTCACATCATAGCCCGGCTGTTCCTGCAAGCTTCATCAGAGTCGCGGAATGTTGTAAAACAAAGATCATCCCGTATGCAAGACCCCAGACAAAGCCCTTCTGGCACATGAAAGGACAAAACAAGGCCAAAGACCCCCCACCTACATCAAAATGTGGCAGTCGTGCAATCCTGAACCCCACCTCTAACTGGTCCTCTCTATTAGGATAACTAATTAATTCCTATACCTGCCCAGAGAGATACAACCAAGTCCATGATAACTGAAAATGAACCAATACGACAGTGTAAATTAAATCTTTGAATATGACGGAATAGAAAATAATTCTGCACCTGATATAAACGGTAGAAATTAAATAAAGTGTTATATTCTAAAGACATCATAATTATTTTCAAGCCATAAAAGCCCTGGATTAGAGCACCTGCTATATAATTCTGAAAGGCAGCAGGGAGAACCATATAGTGCCACCTCTAACCCCCCGGTACTGAGAATGGTATCACCCATCACACACCATTCTGCAGACCCATCCACAGCTGTTTGTGGTCCTTCTTCTGCATCTCATTGACCACTGCACCCTTGTGCTTCAGCGCGTCGGCCTCTTTGATGCAGGACATGAAGTGCGCCTCAATCACAGAGTTGGAGGGACAGTGCAGCAGGTCTTGCAGGGGGAAGTTCTGCAATCACAACAAATTCTGCCTCTTAAGCAAGGCCAGGTTACACTTGGCTCCCCCACGTCTGGCTATGTGCTGTTGAGTCAGACCAAATTCAATGATGGTAAATGAACCATTTCAAGGAAAAATATTTGCCTGTTACCCACAAAAGCACGCAATCTGGTGCTGTTCTACATTGCAAATAAGATGTTACACACAAATAACACATTGTAACACTAAAATAGATCAATAGGGCAAAAAATCCAGATAATTTGAAAATTGCATTGCAACATATGCGGATTTAGTTAGCTATTGACAGCTATTTCCCACCAAAAGAACCTTCTGCAGATGTCATCATTCCTCAAATTCCAGCATCCCTGTGGAATTATATCCTGTTTAAGTTTGCGTAAGAAAACGGCCGATTCACCGGCAAATGTTTGGGCAATAAATTATTGCACATAAGCAACAAAAAGAAACCCTTTGCTGTTTTATACTGAGCAAAAACTAGTTATTTCTTTTAGCAGTAGATCTGCCACCTATCTCCAGTCATCATCCATTATTTGCATTTTCCCTGGGTATCTATGCAACAAATACATAGCATAGTCCCCCCCCGGCACAGGCTACTGTAATATTATTAGCTATTTATTCAGTCCACTGTATTTATTCCCACCCTTTCTGCTGTTGTATTTATTGTTCACAAACACACTGCACTTGTGTCCAGCCTCTCTGTTTGGCACAGCCCTGTGTCTTGGACTTTTAAGTTTTGTGAAAACCTTCCCCATGTCGCTTACGGTTTGGATGTTGCACTGTGATCTTGGGAGCATGTTATTTTGAGCCACTGTATACCTGTATATGGATGGTATGACGATAAAGCCCATTTGACTTGCTTTGCTTTTTTAGGCAGAAAAAACTTTCTTTTTACTGAAAAAGAAAGTGAACACTGACATCTAGTGGTGACCATCTGCTTTCCAACACCTTTACAAGTTAGTCAAATTTTTAAATTTGAAAAGAGCCCAACTATTTAAAACATAACAGGCTTATGCAAAATTGACAGAGAAGCAAATGATGTAAATAACATTAAATACGCTGATAAAAGCCACTGAGTAAGGATATCCAAATAACAGGAGGACATAAAAAAAAAAGAGGACTGGAAGAGAAGAATCTCCAGCAATAGCTTAGCATTTTGCTAAGGCGCCGAGTGAAAGTAGGGATGCTTAGGGAGTTAACGTACCTTGAAATGCACAAAGATACTCCAGGGGAGTGCAGTGTTAGACGCGTGAAGGTCATACAGCAGTCCTATCGGGTAGTGCCTGAAAATCAATGACAAGAAAATCACAAGGTTATCCTTTCATAATATTTGTGTGGCTTTTAATTATTAAAAGTGAGGTGTACACTTCCTGGGATTCATAATGTTTTGCATCATATTGTATATATTACAGCAACTACTGTTCGTAAGACGATTACTGCAACTCTCACACCACCATGTGGAATACATGTGTAATTGCATACAGCGGATTATTTTTCAGACACCATACACCTTACATCTATCACACAGGCTTGTAACCGTATGGATGTAATCACTCAACACTACCAGCAGGATCGGTGGAGAAACTAATAATTCAGCTGCAAGTAATAATTAATATACCTGATTTGCCAAACACATTTAAAAGCACTTTTTGGTTTTTACAATCAGTAACATTCAAGGGTTACCAGTCCACGACGTTTACTCTCCACAGCACCCACCATTTCAACGCCGTTCCTTCATACTCAAACCACATCTCCTCCACGTCATCTGGCTTCATCACCTTCTGGAAGTGTTTTTTCACCTTGTCTGTGACTAGTGTCAGGTAGCTGACTCTTGGCAGGAGTAGCTGCATAGATGTGGCAAGTTTTAGCAAGTAAGTGAACGTAAAAATGCTCATTTCAAAATCTAACCGGTATACTACAACCACAATTTTCATCAACCCAAGAACACTTCATAGAGGAAATTAACAAAAAGTAATAATTACAAATAAAAGATTACAAAAAGGAAAGGTTGCTGAACTCTGTTTCAGTTGCCAGGCCAAATTTCTTTTCTGTTCCACCACCAAAACACCTGATTTCACTTGCCAGCTAATTATAAAGTCCTACATTACCTGCCTCAGACATGCTGTTACTGCACTAGAATAAAAATATGAACGGGGGGGAGCTGAGGACTCAACTGAAAGCCACAGACCTCAGATATCCATTTCTGTATAAGCTGTGACGAAGACAGCAGCCATAATATATAGGATACTTTTGAATAGCATGCTTTAAACACCAGCTAGAGCTCATAATGAAACGTCGTCATAATCCACCAGACACGCACTACGAGCACCAGTTTAGGTTCATGTGTGGTATGGTGGCCTACCCGGGACACACTTTAAACAGGATTAAATAAATTTGCCTGTACTTACGTAGAAGGGTTCAGCCTCCCGCTCGGTCACCTCGTCCTGGTGGAGTGTGAAGCAGGTGGGAATCCGACCGAACCACACATCCCGCAGCACGTCTTTGTCATCTGCCATGGTCCAGCGGCTGCGGGGGGCACATACACGGTGTCTGGTAGCTACAACCTAAACGAAACCAACAGCACAGGATTTCCAGTTCCTCATTATCTATAAGCTATGCATCAAGACAATGACAATCATATCACTATGCATTTAACTTGGTCACATTAAGTTACCAGTTTATCTAGCTCGCAATACTTCAAAGATCAAGTTAGCTACATTATTTATGGTCAGGCAATCGCTATTAGATTCAAGTATCCCAGGTCACTGACTGCTGAGACCCTACATGCGTGTTTTAAGCTACTACAGTGACACTTGCTAGATGACCTGAAGTTATTACCAACCCTGTCTTGATAGCGTTCATCTAGATTTGTTATTATAATAAGTGACTCGCAACTAAAAACAACAAATTTAAGCTAGTTAATATTCTGGCAGGGCTGACAATGTCAACCCATCACAGTGAAGTTCAGTCTACGGCTGGCTTCCTGATTAAATACCTGCTGTATATCACATAGCTTTAGATAGCGTTAGCCATCTTTGGCAACTGCAGATTCACAGAATGGGTGCGAAAACGCTGTAAAACGGCCCAGCAATGCAACACTTATTGCTACTGATAAATTTGCACCGGAAAACACGTACGACGTGCCTTTCATTTGCTACACCAATAACCATCTTACTTTTTAAAGAGTTATCAGCAATCTGTTAACACATCCACTTGCGACGAGAAGGCCCCACTGTTGTCATTTAGCTCCCTGGACTTCACGCAGTCAAAGAAAATAAGAAAAGAAGGTGCCCTGCTTCATCGAAGTGTTCCTTTTGTAAACACTGACACCTCGTGGTCAAGTGGCTTGCCAATGTGAAATTTCGGTTTTATTTTTTTAACCATACGGATGTTTAAGAGATTACGCATATTGATAATTGTATTTTAGAAGTCCGTACTATTATGTAATGTACAATGCATATATTTAAAATGCACAAAATAATAAAACCAAGTTTCCCTGACCGGGAATCGAACCCGGGCCGCGGCGGTGAGAGCGCCGAATCCTAACCACTAGACCACCAGGGATGACGTATGAATTTGTTTGTTCAAGATGTATATAACAAATTTAGTATTGTCACAGCTGTTTTGTCTTTTCTGTTGTATAGTTTGCTGTTATGGGTATTTAATAAGTGGTCCTATAAAAATGGAGGAATCGGTCAACATACAACCCTCTGGTCTATATTTATGCCAGATAATATCAGTTTGACATTGTATAGAGCAAATTATTGTTTTCACATTAGAACTATAGCCTACATCTTTTGTGTATCTCTTTTGAGATACAGCACTACATTTATGTTCAGAAAACTGTATGTGTAACTTAAATTTGTAAATATTCTATTGGTATCGGCAAGTTAGTATTTACTGTGAAGCCCTGTTAGACCCTGAGCAGATTACAGCTGTAAAGGCAAAAGTTAAGTTTGTTGTATTTCTTTCCTATTTTTTAAAGCAGCAATCTTGTATTGAAATGTTTGATTTCAGTCTGAGCTTTATTACTATCTTTGCCTGTGCCTTGTAGTTGCACTATATCAACATTCAATGTACATTTGGTCACTAAGGTTTGAATGGAAGTACAGAAAAGACATTTCATTTGAGTTTCAAGGCAAACTGGGAAGCAGCTGCAGTGCAGCCTAACTTACTGAGATTCTCAAAACATGCTGCCACCCTCCTCCCTTACAAAGGTTTAAGGTTAGAATTTCAGGATCCAGGTCTAGGATCCATTTCTGCTCCAAAATGTTATGATGAAGTGGCTTCTGCAGCGACAAATTGCAAAGGTAAGGTACACAAAAAAATGCGGTGACTTTCGATCTTTCAGTTAAAACCCAATCCTTCATTAGCACACATAATGGGCATCGTTCCCTGAGAATAGCAAATGGAAAATAAGCAAGTTAAGAAGATAGACTTCTAAAGATGAAGTGGCTCTAGTCGCCAGACAGAATGCTATATTCTGAGGTGACTTGACCGTCTGCTACTTTTCGGTTGTTTTGTAACTGTGAACCATTTCCTCTTCTAGAAAAAGATCTGTACTTGCATAATTAGTAATTGTTCTGAAACTCTTCTGTTCAGTTTTGTTTATGAGATAATGTGAAAGGGTTTGCTCATTTCAGACCAGATGACGTATTTCCAAAGCAGTCACCGTGCCTGTACTCACCCAAACTAAGCAGTTCATCAGGTAATATGGCTACTTTATTAAAACTCTTCTGGTTTACTTCAATGCCATATGTTTTTACCAAGTTGGGGTTTTTACATTAAATCGCGCAATATTGTAATAAAGTAACTAGGAGCTACTCCAATTACACCAATAATTTGTAGGCATGTTGATAAATTCAGCAGAACTGCTAAAGGTACTGCTTTGGGTCAAAGCAGAGACCCCAAACATATACAATTGACAATTGTTACTAATCTGCTTAAAATCATAATACAGCAAGCCCAGAAATATTAACTCCTTTTGACCTTCACCCTAACCCATACATATTCAAATATGGCAACCCAAATTTAAGGAATGTTAAATAAATGCTAAATAAATACAGCATTAATTTAAGCAAATACATTCCCTACTGATTCCAGTACTCCCCAATGAAAGGGACTCACTCCGTACTCACTCAGTACAGAAATTTCAGATAAATAAAGACAGCAACATATAATTACTGAGTACATATGTGTCAAGTCTCATGGTTTACCTTTGAGACTGCCTTTGGTTTTTTTTTAATTTTCTGACGTGCTGTCCAGTTCTCAGAGCAAACAGAGACAAAATGACGACGTGCTCTTTACTACTAGTGCTGTGCTGGAGCTGACAGGGTGATGGATACCGTTTACCGTCCCCCTGCCCCCTTTATAAACTGAATTCTGCTACAACATCAATACATCCAGTTCACCACCTGATGGGGTAATTTAGACAAAATTAATGCCACCCTTCCAGAATCACAGTATGAGCTACACTTGAGGTTACCCTTATGTGAGGTCATCTTTCCCTATAGTGACACGCACGTTTGCACAAACATTTGTTGACAAATCTTTATTAGATTATTGTCTATATTATCAATTTAAGACTCTCAAGCTCATGCAAGAATTCTTATGGCATATCCATATTACTTTATTATAAACCCAAAATTAGCCATATGAAAAGTGTTGGGGGCAGTTTGCAAGCCCTATAGACGATATACCGTGTAATAAAATTTTTACATAGGTCTACATAGGTAAATGCATGTAAATGTCTCGAACTGAAAATCTCCCTCCAGCCAGCGGACCGAAGCAAACCCTGAATATGGGACACTCTTCCATGACAAACCAAAAAATGTAAGTTTCATGGTGCTTTCATTTAATAGTCAGGTGTAGGTTTGAATTAAACACTGATACAACCACGTGGCCTCATGCAAATGCACAATGAGACCCCATCAAACTCCATCAAGTCCTGGTAATGCTGTCTAATGTGGCTATGAGGCATCCTCTGTGTCTGGAGGCTGGACATGCCAGCTCCTTGCAATCCAATCGTTGACATGCGGATTACTGCATGGTCTGCACGTTACATCCAAATCGGACCATTACTTCTGGGTGCTTAACTTTTTTTGTCACTGAGTGTATTTTTATAATTGTAACAGTGATTACATCAGTTACAGAGACCACCATCAATGAAATAGTGGTATGAATTTAAAATATTCGTTTCATGGTAGAACTGATCATATGGTGTATAAGAATTTGGCAGCAGTAGATATGATTTGTTTTTTAATTTTATTATTTATACTTTACTAATGCTATTCCCAGAATCAGTTGTACTGTATAACATTTTAAGCGCAGGACCTCCTCAGTGATTAAACATTTTTGTTTTTACACTCGAAGAATCTGCCGCACTTCTTTAGACACACAGTTTTTTTTTCTTCTAATAAACTCTGCTTCAGCTTTAGAGAAAACAATTAGGACAATGTGCTGAAATAACCCGTCTGCAAAAGGAATGTCAGAACTAGATAAATTTTAACCAAGCATGTTGACTGTATAATCCATCCGACGTCATTACTATTAACTTTTCTTAATATACAGTCCACAATCCAGACAAAATGACACAGCTAACTTCATTCAGAGCTGGTATTGAGAGATACTACATTTTTATGCATCCCCCAGAAAACACAGCTATAAGTTTTACATTAGGTTTTTTAACTGAATTTGCAATAAAAATTCAACAGACCAGTGGCGGAACAACTGTACATTGGGCCCTGGGGCAAAAATGAACCATGCCCCCCCCTTCCAAATGCACACCAGTTACAGCAGTTGCAGATTATGAAATTTTAGCAGCCTCCAAATATCATACCCATCATGCACTGCAGTAGTTAGCAAATTCCAGAAACATGCTTTTTTTCATTAAATACAGGCCTCCACAACAGTTTGACTACACAACATTACAAACTATTACATTTCAAAATGGTATTAAGTATTGTACAATTTTTTTGTTTGTGTTAATTCCCACTATGATGAGACTGTACATAAAAATGAGAGATAAAAACGTAGCATGCTAAAAAGGTCCTACAATATGCCTGACATCAGTGCCTTAATCTGCATGTGAAATTTGCAGGTGGAAGGGGACCCTTAACATTGCTGGAGGGCCTGGGGGGGCCGGGGCCTGGGGTGGCTGCCCCTGCAACAGACTGTGTAAATTGTTTGTGAAATTTTATTTATTTGGCATTGAGCTAAATGACTTTAACTAATTTACTGGAGCTCTGGTATAGCAAAACCCAGCCTTTGAAAAGGCTGCAGCAGGACTAGGTCTGGTCTAACCACAGGCAAAATGCTCCTTATCCTGCTATACAGTACTGCCAGTTAACAGTTACGTGATAATGTGTGAAAGTTTATGATCAATGAGTTGTCTCCAAAGTGTTACACATAAAGCCACCTTTCGCCACTTGTGGTCGTTTAGCCTAGTTTGAAGCAATGCGAAGCAATGAAAAAAATGAAAAGACAGGCGGTTACAGTTCTAACTGGTTTAATCTGCTAGCCATGGGTCGCTTTGTTGGTTTTCATTGGGTTGGACAGATCAGTGGTAGATCACTCATCGTAATCCTATAAATTCTAAAATTAGAAGCCTATTTTCTAACATCATTAGGTCATAAGGTTCCCATGTTACCTAGTCTATGTAGTGAATGTAGATGACCGTATCTGTGTAGTGTGTGTGGATGGCTGTATCTGTGTAATGCGAGTAGATGGCTGTATCTGTGTAGTGCGAGTAGATGGCTGTATCTGTGTAGTGCGTGTAGATGGATGTATCTGTGTAGTGCGTGTACATGGCTGTATCTGTGTAGTGCATGTGGATGGATGTATCTGTGTAGTGCATGTAGATGGCTGTATCTCTGTAGTATGTGTGGGTGGTTGTATCTGTGTAGTACGAGTAGATGGCTGTATCTGTGTAGTGTGTGTGGATGGATGTATCTGTGTAGTGCATGTAGATGGCTGTATCTCTGTAGTATGTGTGGGTGGTTGTATCTGTGTAGTGCGTGTAGAAGGCTGTATCTGTGTAGTGCGTGTAGATGGCTGTATCTGTGTAGTGCGTGTAGATGGCTGTATCTGTGTAGTACGTGTAGATGGCTGTATCTGTGTAGTGCGTGTGGATGGATGTATCTGTGTAGTGCATGTGGATGGCTGTATCTCTGTAGTATGTGTGGGTGGTTGTATCTGTGTAGTGCGTGTAGATGGTTGAATTTCTGTAGTGCATGTGGATGGTTGTATCTGTGACTTACCACTTAGGAAGGAAGTTGTATGTGTCACAATTTTTTTGAAAACTGTTAGGCTTTAAGTTTACGCAGAAGGGAAAATACCCTTGCACAAGGAAACGTTAACACATGCTAATCTGAATAGGGAAACTTTGTTTGTTTGTGAGTTATGGTTTTAAAAGGGATGGGATTTATACACCTGATAGAAGCGGACCACGGTTTGATGTTAGGCAGTATGTGGCTCTACAGATTAGGAAGGTTGCCAGTTTAAATCCCGTGGTCAGCAGAGTGGATACATCACTGAACTCTTGAGCAAGACTCTTAACCTCAAAAGGAGGCCTGGATATATGGCTTAGCTTGCACTCTGATCCCAAGCTTTGTTCTCACTTGAATATGTGTGTGTGTCTCATAGGAAAGTAAGCTGGGATATTTCTGTGTCCTCCTACAAATGGTAAAGTTTCATTTTTTTTTTTTTTAATGAGGAAACTGGTCCAAGTGCACAGGGCATCTTCAATGGCACAATCCACAATGGTACTCAAAATCCTGAAAACAGGTCAAAAAGAGATGGACGAAACTAAATCCAAAATCAAAAGCGGTAAATGGGAACAGTCAATCAAAACAGAAATGTGTGGTGACTTAATAAGAAGAGATGATGATGATATTCAGGTGAAACAGGGTGCCGGAGGGCTGAGCTAAGCACAGCGGAAGTGATGCGCTGAAAGCCAGATCTGTATTCCAGTAACATAACCACCCACACATACTACAGAGATACAGCCATCTACATGCACTACACAGATACATCCATCCACATGCACTACACAGATACATCCATCTACACGCACTACACAGATACAACCACCCACACATACTACAGAGATACAGCCATCTACACACACTACACAGATACAACCACCCACACATACTACAGAGATACAGCCATAACATAACAGATGTCAACAGCTGCTCTGAAACTCCTTGGCCTGATCACATTCTGCTTTCTTCTTTCAACCGATTGTATAAAAACCAGTGATTTGTCTTCCTTGAGGAAATGGTATTTCATACAGTTTTTGCTTGTGTTTCGTCTTAGGATTTGACATAATAAAGCTTTTCATTCGTTTTTAGAATTGGATTTTTTAAAATTCTAAAATATTCTCTTTATGCCACCATCTTATAAGCAATTTACACATCTTAATATTGATTATTGTTTATTGACTGATTTATGGTCCAGAACGAAGTCTAATTTATGTTTTTAGTTCGGCATTTTATTTCCATTACTTCCTACATCGCAATTTTTTTAATTCATACCAGCTTTTGGGGGCAGTGTGTGCCTATTTACCTGCGATCGGAAGGTCCCCGGTTCAAGCCCAGCCTCGGCACGTCTGCAAGTCCTTGAGCAAGGCCTTTGACCCCCAGCTCTCTGGGTGCTGCTACGGGTAGTTGCCATTTGCGGCCAGCTTGCTCACACCAACAGAAAGCATGTTGGCAGTGGTGTAAAGAGAATTTCCCCACAGGGATCAATTTATATAATTATTTGTCAAACATTTTCCTCACTTTGCAAAACAATCTCATGATGAATAAAAGACAAATGATTCAGGTTCACTTTAATTCATAAAGATTATAAGTACAATCAGCAAAATTCATAACTAAGACTGAGAAAGAAATTCTGCATGAAGAAGAAACACTGATTAACAACAGCATCTGAACAGATTTACGTGAGAGTCTATTTGGAATAAGGTCACTTGAGGGATTCATTCACTGAGGAGATACTTTTTGTTCTTGCAAATGTGTCTAATTTTTAGATTCAGTTTAATAATTTTACTTATGGGACATTAAACCTTGTTTTTTCATAGACATGAGAGTGATTTTATAGTGGCTTTTCAGGATGTGGTCGGAACACCAGTTCTGTACAAGCTGCTTTTTCAATTTCTAAAGCTATAACGTCACATCAGCCCATAAATGGTTAGAGGAGGTGGAGTTAGAGTTTCCAGCATCAAGCATGATCAAAGGCACCTTTACGGAAAGTGGGCAAATTGTTGAAAAAAAAAAAAGTACAACTCAAAAACTCCCCACAAATGAAAAACACATTTGTGGGCTCAGAGCAAGTGATTACTCACCGAGGAAATGGAGAAAGTCAATCTACTCATGTCCACTGATGTGGCGTCGCTGAGCCTTCAGGCAGTTTGCAGTTATGTCAGCTTGCTTGTTTTCCTCTCCAGTTTATTGATTATTTATAGTTAATTATCCCTAAGTTGTATAGAGGGGAAAAATAGCTAAACTATCAAAATGAAGTAACACTTTAGATAAAGGGGTCTTCACAAACAACACTTAAACACTGAATCATTAACATTCAATAAGAATGGGCAAGCATAAAATTTCATAACAACTATAGGCCTATAATCAATGATTCAGTCATTTGTGAATTATCCATCAATGGGGTATAACTGAGTACCTGTTGTGGAGATGTTACCAGACCAGAATATTGATTTAGAATGAAAAATAATAGCAGACTCACCATCTTAAATGCAAAAGCAGATGTTGAAAAGGAATGAGTGTAACGCTTCTCGTGAATACATTGTTTAGTGTGTTGCATTCAGTTCTTATCTCACTGTTGTTTACTTTTTAGTGCTGGTATCTACACTCGGCTTGATGGAGCTGCAAGTTGATTCGGATAAGCTTTGGATTTTCCAGAGGAGCACACCAATAAAAAACCTTCCTGACGTATTTAATCGTGGACAGTTTAAGCTGTGTTGTCTTGTATAGGCAGCAGCATTAATTTTATATTGTTTATTCACAGTAAATTGAATTATATTGATATCAATATTATTGATAACCCCTCCTTTTAAGAAAGGGGGGCAGTTCTCATTCCAGTATAGCATCCAAAGCTTTAACTAATGTGTTTTTTTTTCCTCAAATCAATGTCTTTTATCTTAGGTGAAACAATAAAAATGGCAAACAAGGGCAATTCTGTTATCTCAGCCCCCTGTAGGGGTGTGTTAGCATTTTTTTGCAGTTACTAATTTAAAATCACTGGATGATTCCAGTTAGCAGTCTCAGAGTATGTTTCTTTATTTCTATGGGTGAGTTGGAGCGGGAACTCAAAGTAGCATGATTTGTAAGAGTATCACTTTTACTGGTGAATATGTTTCCTGCAATATACCTGTTTATTTACCTGACAGTTCTGTCCAAAACAACACACAAACAAACATCTGTAAGGGGGGCAGTTTCCAAGGGCTGCTAGGTCTGGGACCAGTGAATGTGAGATACTTAATGGGAAACAAAGCTATGCAAAACATCATAGAAGCCAGTTCAGAAAAACTATTCAAATAAGTAGCACCAAGATAGTCTAGATGGAACTAAGTCTAAGTAGAAAATACAGCAGAGTATTATGTAGCACCAAGGGAAACCATGACCAGTGCAGAAAAAGAGTTGGTTGGTGGTAGGAAATTTCTGGAAGAGACCGATCTTAAGAGATTTCTTTATAGTTGTGAGCGATTCATGTAAGTATGTGGTTTGTTGACGAGTTAACCAGTCCTAAAAGGGGTTGCGCAGTGACCTGATGCTGCTTAATGTCACAACCTTGAGCTGGAATCTTTTTTTTTTTTTTTATTGCCCACCACCACCCCCCCTCTTCGGAGGACAACTTTATTTTACATTACATTCAAGAGTAAAGATTGTGGCCGCTCCGAACTCACCAGTACCGTGGAAAAGGAGAAAAACAGGGGGGGGTACAAAAACAACAGCGTAACAATAACAGACATCAATCACCATGGGGAGAGGGGGAGAGAGAAAAGAAAAAAAAAAAAAAGGTATACAGAAATAATAACACTAATAATGTAGGCAGGATGGAAAAAAGATGAAGTATAGGGGAATACAGAATACAAACAACCATAAGAAACATAACACTCATCAAACAACAAGAATTATAACAACATCAGTGATACTAATAATAATTAATACAAATCGGTATTATATATATGTAGCATACACACACGTAATCGTACCGTTATATATGTATATTTCAATTCCTAAATCTATAACATACCCTAAAAAGTCATAATAATAATGATATTGATCGCTCAACCAGTCTTGTATGCATGTGCAAGTGTAGGTGTGACCTGATTTGTCATTGGATGTGCTGGCATTTAATGCCGTCAGGGGAGGCGGCAGCACCCCCCCCCCCCCCAGGCCCAAGGCGAAGGCAGGAGAACCAGGCAACCGAAGCCACCCTACTGCCCCCCCGGCACAAGGGCCCACAGCCACACATCCCAGAGACAACCACCCGCCCAACCCGAGAGGGAGCCCGCGAGGGACTAAGGGGGCGCCAACCCCCGCACAGGGAGGCCCGCAGAGGGAGGACGGGCGGCGAGCCCCCCAGCCCCACCCGCAACCACCCCACCGGGGCAGGCGGGTCCAGGGCCGAAGGGCCCCACCCACCGGGACCACCCCCCCCACCCCCCGGCGGACGGCCCCCCACACACCGGGGGAGCCCCAGCCCCCCCAGCCCGTCCCCCGGGAGGACGGGCCGCCGCCCACCGCAGCGACCCGGCACGCCTCCCCCCAAACACTGCAGGATGATCCAAGGGGGGCCCATACAAAGAGCCCCCCCCCCACCCGGGAGCGGACCCGCGGCGACCGGGGAGCGGCAGACACCCCGCCCAGCCCAGACCGAACCCCCCAATCCGCCTAGCAGGGCCCAGAGCGTCCCAAGATTCCCCGGACCGCCCGCCAGGGCCCCACCACGGCGCAGCAGAGCCAAGCACCACCCGGCCCGCGGCCCAAGAGAGGAGGCCGCCCATACCCGCCAGGGCCACCCGAACCCCCCCATGATGGGTCTTCCCCCCGGCGGGCCACCCCACCAGCACAGGGCCAGAGACAGAGAGTTAGGGGCTGGAATCTTTGAGAAGACACTATTTCAAAGACGCTTCTAGAAACAACCTGGGCGTCCCATTCCGTTATCTTGGCACCAGCTACAGTGCTTTTTACCACTGATGCATTGATGCACTTCGATCAACCAATAAACAGCACTGTCATTAGCTGTGGTGGTTTCCCTGTTTACTTGCACACTAGTTTCAGTGGTACTGTAGGATTCCCCAGTTTACTGTCATGCATGTTTCATAACATCCCTTTTGTAAAACCTACAAATATATTGTAATAATAGATATAGCTATTTTTATGACTTAATTTATATGTCAGCACTGGAAAAATGTTAGTAAAGTGAACGTATTAATTATTATGGATGGAGACAATATTGTAGGGTATAGGCCATGATTTATTTCATGGATGACTGGCTACAATGGCAGTGTGAGAATGTTTGAACCTCTCAAAAGTAGTTTCTGGAGGAAAACTATACAATGCTCTGTGACGTTGTCTTCCACTGGTACACCACAAAGCAGAGGTGGGGGCAGTTTCGGGTTACATACACAGAAACATCTAGAATCCGTGTGAAAAGGTTACAATGCACCTCCAGTTAAGAGACAATCAGTAGTTTGAAAATCAGAAGTTGTGATTTAAATAGTTTGTTGAATGCTGAGCCTTGGCTGCTGTTATACATCTGTATCGTACAGCTGTTTACCTGATTCAGTATTTTTTCATAACAAGCCATACACATAACTAGTGGTAAAGAAATTTTTGAACTCCAAATACCATCCATCCATCCATCCATCCATTGTCTACCACTGGGATTGGGTCAGAGCAGTCTAAGCAGGGATGCCCAGACCCCCCCTCTCCCCAGCAACCTCCTCCACTTCCTCCATGGGATTATCAAGGCATTCCCAGGCCAGTCAAGAGATACTTCTCCAGCGTGTCCTGGGTCTGGCCCGGGTTCTCCTCCCGGCTGAATATACCCTGAGGGAGGCATCCAGGACGCGTCCTAGATAGATGCCCGAACCACCTTAGCTATGTCCAGTAGGCCCACCAGCTGATGGACTGGGCGTGGGGGTTGGGTGCAGTATAGATGGGGCAGCAGTTGAAGGCAGGGGCCTCAGCAAACCGATCATCGGGGACCAAACCTGGCCCCAAATGCCAGCTAATGCAAAATAAAAAATATCTTGATCTTATACCACTTTAGCGATTTCTAGGCTTTTACGTTACACTTTGTCGTTCTCTGTGGGCTTCGCCAAATGTACTATAGTGTTATTTCGCATTCTTGGACACACTTGGAATGGAGGTACCGCCAGTATTAGCTTGGGTCTCCTCTACAGTCGCAAGTTTGCATTACCTAGAATTTACATTTACCTTAAAAACGGAAATCTTTTAACGCAATATAATATTTTACCTGAAAATACATAGTCAGCTGAACATTTCTCTGAAAAGCGTTGTCATATGCAGTTCATATACATCTGGCCCAGAATGCACCATGACTTAATTATGATCTTTTAAATTAGAAGTTCCCACCCTTTTGATGTTTGCAGACCCATCTATGACGTAGCAAAATTTCCCTGACTGGAGGAGTGAGGGGCTGTGCCGGCTGATCGATTTCCCAAGTCGAATAATTCATAAATTCCTTTTTTTTAGACCTGAACATACAATTGTGAGCGGTCCTAAAAAAAATTGAAATGCCATTTTATTTATTTGTTTGTTTATGTGTGTGTGTGTGTATTTATGCATTTATTATTTGTTTGTTTGAAAATTAGCCTAACAAAATCCCCAGTGTTCTGCACCCCAGCCAGCACAATTTAAATGATGTAAATTAGGAATTTAAGAAGAATTTGATGTGTTCTCCAGTTTAATCAGTTTCAAGAGTACGTGACCGGTTTCACTGAACACTGCATGAGATTAGCCTTTAACACCTCCTTGGTACTTATCTAGGACACACTGGCTAGATGGAGTCACTCAGAGCTGCAAGCCACTGAGACAGTAAATGTATAATGAAACACACACACAAGTACCTTTTGTGGTAAACTTTATTATTTTTTTTTTTTACAGTTAAGGCTTTGCTCATTATAATATATGGAAACGGCAGCATTTCTGTGCAAGTGTGTGTTTAATTTGTTAATATTTTTGGGAATGAGTGATGTGACATTGGCTTACTTTGCTATTTGTAAAGTGCAGATTCTTCATATTCTTCCCCTGTGTCTTTTGGCTGACACTGTTCCATTTGCCTTTCTTACAGTAAGTAGGCCACTGTTGGCACAAAAAGAAAAAAAAAGGAAATGGTTTGCTGCAATAACAGGTGTGCAGAACAGTTAAACCTGGTTCAAAGTTTAAAAGGTTAATAAAACTCATACAAAGGGGATGTTAGCTTGCCCAAGTTTCTGAAACGGATTTTTTTCTTTTGCCTACCAGTCGGCCTTCATTTGGGAAAGAATAACTAACTGGAGAAGGAGTGATTTCCTCCACCTGAAATGTGCATTTCTGTGGTTGGAAACCTCCTCTCTTTTTGGCCAAACAGGGCCTACACCAGCCCAGGTTCGCTAACTAGGTCAATGGCTTGGAATGTTACTGGTAAATCACCCTTTAAAAAAGCATACAAAGAAAGCCATTAAACTGCCTTCATGTATAAAGTCAACGATGGATTTAGTTATTCATTATAATCTGATGATTTAATGGCTACTCTAAATATTGATGACACCGTATTTAGGTTGTTTCAACACCGGAAATGTCCCAGTGGTGTTTTGCTCTTTGCAATGCCATTTGGTACGTTTTCCAGCCCCACCAGTTCTGATCAAAGTTCTGACTCCTCTCTCTACTGTTTGCCCTAGATGACGATGGGACCATCATGAAGAGTACAGAAAAAGACCCCCCCCCCCCCCCCAGCACAGTGGAATGCATTAAGAGTTTTCACACCGAAATTAAGGAACCTAGTCCCAGTTTACAAGTTCCTGGGCTCGACTTGGAACTTTTGTAGCTCCTGGACACTTTTGTGTGTCGCATCTCATGCCACACAACAGGAACTGGGACCTTTATGCTAAAAAAGTTCTTAGGGTAAATTTCACACATGACTTCATATGAAGCTACGCCGTCACACCATTACTATAGAGGAAAAATAAGCCATTTTGTTAGATATTTCTTATTGGGGGGAATCAACCCACAACATGTTCATGATTCTGATTAACTTTGGCCAGCAGATCAATCTTTCATTTTCCACAGAATAAAAAACAATGTGAAGTTATCACACTCATTAGTTTCACAGCCAATATTAGGCAAAAGTATTGGTTAGTGATCAAAGATTCCAATGCAGATATATGGAGACACAAGCAAAAAAATGTATTAGTTGATGCAATAAATATAATTGGAGTACAAAAAATGATTCCATCTGCTCAGTTTTTCCTCCACTACATCTCTTTTTCTGCATATCATATAACTGCCAAGTTAGCGCTTGTGCTAATGGTAAGCTAATCAGCAAGCTATCATTGTAAGTGCATCCCCAGTGGCTCTTGTTCAAACGAAAAGTACCTAGTCTGGAGTAGGCACTAAAAAAAGAGTTCTGGAACTTCCTCTGAGGAACTACAATCGGGCCGAATTCCTATGGTGTGAACACAACAAAAGTCCCTGGTTCCGGAAAAAGGTTCTGATTTCAGCAATATGGAAGCGCCTGTTAAATACCATGAGTTCCTCCCCATAATCAGTCACACCAGACTTGGATAGTCACTTGGATAGGATATGAATCACCCCATTAGGGTCCTTAGAGAAAATCGCCCATTTTTTGAGAAACTTTAAC